CAAAGCTCTTTGGAGAGCTATTTAGATCAGCAACGCACGGCCTTGCCCACACTGGATGCTCTCGGGGAGGCCTCACAAACTCTTGATATTTAAAGTCTAAGGCCCCCTTGCCATAGCTGCTTCGCCACGTGTTCTTATCGAAAAGCCCCCAGCAGTGGCCGTCATCAGCTGAGTGCTCATCCATGACCACGATCGTCATGACAATATCCTGACAGCCTCCTCCGTAAACTACTGAAGTCACAAACAAACAGATCGAAACAACTTCACCCACGTCACAAGTGGATTGGAAATCATATCAAGTCAATACACAACAAGAGGAAACTTTATTTAAAAATTAATAGCTGAAAACAATAATTAGATGAAGAGATGAAGAAGGTAGCAAAAATGCTATTTTACCCATTAGATTGGCAAAAGTTCAAAAGGACAGCAATCTCCAGCAATCTCAACGTGAGACTCTACTCTATACTAATTTATTTGAAAGGCACCAACATATTAGGATACATACAGGGGGCTGTTTATTGTGGCCCAGCTTACAGTGGCAGAAAAAGCTGACATAGAGGAATGGCCGAATAAATACCAAAATACCAGAAAGTATGGGTTAGATCTATGTATTGACTTAAAGGGATGCCCATAATATTTTAAGTGGAAAAAGAACACACTGCAAAGCAATATGTATAATATGATTTCATGGTTATTTTTAAAAAGAAACAGGCAACATCTCTTATAGGTTATATAGGTAATATACTATGCATATACATATTATATTCACACACACTCTAAATAATAATGTATTCCCATTACTTGGAAGCCTGATTTTAGAGAGGATGTCAAGAAGAACGAGTGAAAAAAAGAGAGAAAGAAGATCGATTCCTCATTAAATATTAACTTTTCTCCCTAAATCTTGGAGTGAAACTGCAGCCAGTTGTTTCCGTGTCTGTGTACTCCTGGCTCACCACAGCCTGCCGCAGGGTCAGCGTGAAACAGTTGAGGAAGCAGAGTGTGCGATAACAACGCACAGTTCAGCAGACGGTGCTTTGGGGGCCTGGGAAGCTTCGTACCAAATCACAGGCGCTGCCTGGGCACCCTCTCACCCCGCCAGCCCAAGCTGGTGTTTCCTGTTTGCTCCTAAAGCTGCACAAGGGGGACCAGGACAAAATGGAAACGCTAGGGGCAGGCACGCGCAGAGCGAGGTATCTGTGGGCCTCGCTGCATCAGAAGAGGGCAGAGGACCTGTAAAAAGAAACACATTTAGCTTGAGATGGAACATTTGTTTTCCGACGTCTGAAGGGCTGTGCTAAAGGGGCCTTAGACTTCAACATATAGCGCCTTAGAAATAAGATAGAGAGAAAAGGTTATGAGGAGGCAGATTTCAGCCCTATGTAAGCAAAAACCTGCTAAGATTCCTTGACCTCTAATTTTCTCTTCTGGGAATAAATTAGAATACCACATACTTTTAAAGGGACATAGAGATGCTCTGAGGAACAGATGGGCAAACTGTAAGCCAGCAATGTGTCAACTGGAAAGCACATTACAGGTACGTGGAGAGTTAAAAAACTCTGGGTGCTCTATCTGGCTGCACCCCCGATTGATCCAATCACAGCCTCTGGGGGTGGAGCTCAGGAAGTGGTCATTTTTAAACTCTTCTCAGGTCATCCCATTGGATAGTTCCATGGAGAACCACTGACCTACAAGAATTACTAGTTGTATCCCAGGTGGTTGTGGGAAAAGTAGATTTGACCCCAGGGAGATCTGGGGTCCAATTTATAAAAATGCCCATTATTCGGTGAATCGGAGCAAATGGTTAGAGCTGACCAGCTCTGTAGTGAAATACAGACCATGTAGCCATTCCAGAGCGTGCGTAACCTTGAAGATGGTTTAAGGCAGTGGTTCTCAACCTTGGCTGCACATTAGAATCACCTGGGAATCTTCTCGGATGAGGCCCAGAAATCAGGATTTTAAAAAGATTCCCAGGTGATTCTAATGTGCAGCCAAGGTTGAGAACCACTGGTTTAAGGAATATTTGTCTCCTTACAGTCTCACCTCTCGCCCCAAAAAAGATCCAAGATGGAAAGATAAGGGCAACACAACTGATGAAGCAAATGCTTGTGGACTTTCGGGTTCCCCCACATCAGCTGTGGGCTGATGTTACTGTATATGACTTTATTATCCATGACCTTGTTCATAACCTGTAATTGACTGAATGCACTCATTAAATAATTAAAGCCTAGAGAGTGATTCTTAATTACAGGCCACCGAGTACCGCTCTTGCCCATTTCCCGCTTGTTCCAGTTATATCACGGACGGTTAGGTTGTCATGCTGGTGGCACTGAGCAGGGCAAGGGTGGGGACACATAACAAGGATAAAGAGGAGGGGAGAGGTGGTGGGTTACGCATAAAGAGACAGACAAACGTAAGGCTCTTTACTTTCCTCCTCCCCCCTTCCCAGCGCTGGCTCCCCAAGAAAAAAAATCAAGGCTAAAAACCCCAAACATGACTGCCTACATCCACATGGGAGAAGAATGATTTCAAAGCAGCATTGCCAAAAAGATGATGAATTGTAATGAATCAGCCAAGTGACTCAGCAGGTAACGAAGAGCTAATCTAGAGTGTTTGGGCAAGGGACACGTGGTCCTGCTCGGGGCTGTGGTCAGTCCTCTCTGGTATGGGCAGGCCCAGGGCTGAGCCCCTGGCTGCAAGAGAGGCAAGGTCCAGAAGGTCAAAGGGCAAGCAACGACAGGGCAGGGAGGTTAGGAATTGTGTGAGGGCTGAACTAGTGGACCTCTGTGGTTTCCTTAGAACAGTCGTAATCCAGGGATGCATTTATGCGTTTCAAAATTCACACTTTTCCCCTTAAAATTAAATCTTCTGGGCCCTGTTTGCCTTGCAGCCAGAGTAATCAAGTCATCATTCCCAGGAGACCACAGTGTTGGCTGTGAATTATGTTATTTTCTCCTCGTCCCTTCTCCCCCTCCTCCCTTCCCCTACTTCAGCTGACTAAGGCAGATCTTCTTGCCTGTCCTCCAAAGTTCCACTTTTAAAAATATAATTATCGCAGAGTTATGCCTCCTGTGCCAGATGCTGGCGGAGGCAGAGAACAGAAAAGTTACAAGAAGCGCGCTCAGAAACAATTCTTCTGGCCTCAGGCATTGACACTGTGAGGAGGAGGCAGTGTCCAGAGAAAATGTAGCTGTTACTGACCATTAGACTTTTTTTTTCTTTTAAAGGAAAATAAACCCTCCAGGAAGAAATACTGCTCCAAATTTTCACTGGATTTTTCTCTTCTTCTGGGCTGATGATCTTCTCACACTTGGCATTGTCTCAGGTGAGGGGGCAGGGAGGACCTTAGAGATGATACAAAACAGATTCAGGACCACCCATCCCTGGTCCAGAATGAACAGAACCCCTGAGGGCAAAGTGACTGGTCCAAGGTCACCCAGCCCCTCAGTGCAGAGCTGAGACTATGGTCAGGATTCCATGTTCAGGTTCCTTCCTTCTTCCCAGGGCCAGAAGCTTTCTCCAGGTTCCCTCCTGAAGAGGGGTGGGGTCCTAGTGGCCCCTAGACTTTGGGCAACCAGTGCCTGGGTCTCAAGCTGTACCTCCAGAATTACAAACAGGAAAACCAGCCCCTGACTATACAGCTCTCCTCTGAACCCTTTCATCTCACATGGTTTTCAAAGCCGGCCACTCACACGAGGCTGCCCACACCCGCCCAGCCCTCCCATCTTCCCCCCACGAGTGAGAGATCCATCTCCAGCCCCTTGACCTCTCTCCTGGCACTCACACATCCCGGTGGTCCGGAAGGGGTGGCTCTGCTTCTTCTCTAAGAAGTAGCCATATCTGAGGGGTTTCTGGGTGGGTTCCCTCTTTGTCAGGGGTACCGCGATGGCTCCGGTCCCTCTGTCCCCCATCACATCCCTGGACAGAAAGTCTAGATAAAAGCTTCCTCCTGGAAGAAGGAACTTGGGACGTAGGGAGACAAGTGAGCCCCTTGGGAAACAGGACTGGTGATTTTTGAGGCTTGGTGCAAGATGAAAATGTGGGGGCCCTTGTTCAGGGCTGTTAAGAACTGGAAGGCTGCAGGGATAGTGCACCAAACCAAGTGTGGGTGCAGGGTTCCACTCCCATGCAGCCCACCCTGCTTGTCTGGGTCCCAAGTGGATGGGGACAATACTTGCTTAAAGGCCAGCGATCCAGGAGCCAGGAAGGCCCGGTTCCCCCAAATAAATGCTATGTTTATCCTTCTATACATATTTCTGCCTCCTCCTGGCCAGCCCGTCACCTGGATGGTTCGGGAAGTCAGTGCTTCATGCTTTCTTCTCTGGCATAACACCCCTCACCCCCAAAAGAGTAGAATTTATGTGGTTGTAAGAGTAGGATTTATTATTAATCTTCTTTTCTACCTCAAATGAAACAAGAGGAGTGGCCTATGTTCAATAGGAAAGATTAACATTTAATAGGGCTGCAGAACTGCGGTGTTTAATTTGGACGGGGAACAGCCAGGAGCACAGTGGATACCAGGAACCCTGAGGAGAGGGGCGCTGAGCTGGCCCCTCAGGGGCGCTGTCCTCCAGCTCTGAGTCTCGGGGGAGCCGTGCCGGCGCACTCCCGGGCCTGTCTCCCCTAGAGACTGCGCGGTCTTTCCCGGCGCCGCTGCGCCTCCCCGCGCCCCAGGCCGGGCGCTGCACCGGATCTCCTCACCCCCGCACCCGTGCACCCCCGCACCCCCTCCCGCGCCAGCTTCCAGAAAGCTCCCGTGCATTCCCCGGCATTCTTTGGGCGTGAGTCACGCAGGTTTGCAGCCAGCCCCGAAGAGGGTGTATACGAGGCAGAGCCCTATAAATACGGCGCCGCGCGGTGCTTACCACGCCGCGTCGCCAGGAGGAGCGCACGGGCACCACTGAGCGGTGAGAGGTCCCCACCTTCCCTACCCCTGCGCAGAGCCGCTCCGGGCCGAGGACCGATGGGCGGGCGGGGTGGCAGGCAGGCGAGGAGAGGACGGTCGCTAGTAGTCCTAGGGGTGTCAGAACCGATCTATGGATGCAGCGGAGGGAGTCTGAGAAGATAGGCAGCCGGAGCCCTGTCACCAGGCAGCGGGGCAGAAGGCCAGCTCGCTGGGGGGTGCAGCGGCTGGGATCCGGCCCATTAGCTGCAATCACAATGGTGTGGGTAAGTAGGACAGGTGTAAGGAGCCTCTTTTTGCAAAGCTGGGGGAAGCCGAGACTGGGAGAACCGCCGTCTAATTGCCAGAGGCCCAGGCTGATGAGCGGCAGCGTCTGCCTGCACCTGGGGCCTTTCTGCAGCATCTTCCTTGGAAAGGTACCATCTCCAGGGGTGTTGCCAGCTGGCGTGCGTGAGTCACCTTGTTTGCTTCAGAGTTTTCTAGTTCTCAGGGAAGTGTGCTTATGAGTATGAGGTTTTGATTGAAGTCTGTGTTACAACCACATAAATCCTACTCTCTCTGCTTCCGAATGCGCCAGGGAACAGCAGAGGAGAGTCACTGAACCCCCATCAGACGTCAGACGTCTGACTCAACCGGCTCATCTTATAGCTGAAACTGTGAGGCCTAGAGAGGCGCAGGGCCTTCTCCAAAGGTAAACAGCAGGGAGGTGTCAGAACAGAGATTAGAACCAGAGCCACTTGACCTTCCAGAATTTCTGGACCTAATTTTTAAAAAGAGAAGCTGATTGTTATTAATATTTTTTTAAAGAGAAAGATTAGGAATTTAAAGGTGCAGCTACAATAAAAGGATGCCCGTGACAGTGTTCATTATAATAGTGGGGAATTACAACTTAAATGTCTAGTCTGGTGGGATAGCAACACAGAGCATATCAGAAAATGGACTCTATTATTATGCATCCACAAGCAGATTCCTACTTTTAAAGAATAGTTGATCTAGTGGATGTAAAGAATCTGATGGTATGCAAATGCATGGGAAATAGAAGGAAAGATACCACAGAGGTAATATTTGCCTCTGGATGGTGTGAATTACAGGTGAATTATTTTCTTATTTTCCTTTTTCGGTTTAGTTTTCTGCCCTCGTGGAGGAAGTAGAGTAGGAGCCTGGGCCTTGAGCTTTAAGCCCTGTGGTGTATAAGCTTTGATTAGATCCCCAAGCCTTCCCCAGGCTCCCTCTGGGTGGGTAAGCCCTGCCTGGGGAAAGGCTGCCAGGTAAGGGTGGGGAAAAGAGGGCTTTGGGCGACTTGTCTAATCAGAGCAGTTGCCAGACAGGAGCCCGGGCCAGGAGATGAGAGGGGAGGTGCAAAAAGAGGGCAGGTGTGGCCCTGACCGGCTAGCTCTGTTGGTTAGAGCCGTGGTCAGCAAACTGCGACTCGCGAGCCACATGCGGCTCTTTGGCCCCTTGAGCGTGGCTCTTCCTAAGCCTTAGGAGGACCCTAATTAAGTTAAAAACAATGCACCTACCTATATAGTTTAAGTTTAAAAATTTGGCTCTCAAAAGAAATTTCATTCGTTGTACTGTTGATGTTTGGCTCTGTTGACTAATGAGTTTGTCAACCACTGGTAGAGCATTATCCCCATACACCACAGTTCCAGGTTCGATTCCTGGTCAGGGCACGTGCAAGAATCAACTGATGAATGTATAAAGAAGTGGAGAGACAAAATGATGTTTCTTTCTCTCAAATCAATAAGTAAATTTTTAAAAAAGACAGAGAGGGCCGGTAGCCGTGCAACCACTGTTCTCACGCTGTCCTGGGACTAGCATTATCAATATCACCTGTATGCTTGTTAGAAAAGCAGATTCAGAATCAGTGTTATAACAAGACCCACCCCCTGCTCTTCGGTGATTCATAGGTGCTCAAAAGTAGCAGGTCGTTTCACTAAGGCAAAGCCACACAGTCAGGGAGGGACCACAGGTGGCCTCTGTGTGTCCACTTCTGTTCCTCTGCACCTCTCCAAACGGCCACCTGCCCCCACTCCCCTGATGGCCCTGCCAGTGCTCACACTTGGTCCTACATCCAATTGTGAAGTAGTCGGAACTCACTGTGGTCCTATAAGACCTTGTGTTTACAGAACACATTCACATCTCTGAGGTCTACATCAGGTCCGTTTCACAGACGAAGAAACTGAGGCTCAGAGACTTAAGTGACTTGGTGTCAAGGAAAGAACACTGGACTAGGGGTTCAGGAGAGCTGGGTTCTCATCCTGGGGTTGCCACAAGCCTGCTGGGGGCCTTGGGGAGCCCCATTCTTTCTCTGGAGCAGAGGGATTGAGCAGAAGACGGATCTTTTTCCGGGCTCTGACGTCAATGGCTCCCCATGAAGCCCAGGCTCCAGTTGGGAGACCCTGTACTGGCTGCTGGGTTTCTGGACTCCTCATCCAGTGCTCTTGTCTTTCGTCACCCTCCCTCCCCTTTCTTCAGGGCCCAAGGCCCTGTCTTCTGGACTTCTCGGAAGTCATTGCTACCAGGGGCCTCGCCTGGAACGGTATATTTTGCTGCCTTTCTCTCTCTGGTGTGACAAAGGCTCTGTCCCTGCTTCAGGCGTCTCAGGCCTCAGTGAGCAGCTAGGGCAGAGCTTGTTAGACCCGGACCTGCCTGCGGGCCCGACACCACGCCCTGGCTCGGCCGCCCACCTGTCTTCGGGAAAGGCGAGGACCCACTCTTCCCTCCGTGATGCTCATGCGCTTTGTGCAGTTGGTTGGGGAACCACCATCGGCTGCCCTACTAATTACTTTCCTGGAGAGGCTTGCCTTAGGAATGTTCCGCCACGCATCCCAGATGGGCCTGCACAACTTTTGAATGTGCACAACTTCAGGAAGGGGGCACCCCACTCCCCGTTCTGTTGTGGGAAATGGGTGCGTTCGGATAAGCAGCTGGTGGGAGGTAGGTTACAGGGGGGAGGGGTGTCTGTTTATGCAACAACTTCAGCTTCTGGGAAAGGGTCTATTATGTAAGACCGGCTGTCCCCAGGCTCAGGGCAGCCGGCCCAGAGTGGTGGCAGGAACACCTTGGCAGGGCACCCTGCTGTGGATTAGAGGGACGAGGCCACGTGGAAGGGCCTGGCAGAGCGGAGGCCATGTCCTCGCAGAGGGACTGCTCCTGGGGAGGCATCAGGGCCCCAGCACCCCTTCGTCCCAGTGTTAAGCCTTTGACGTTGCCCTTCCCTATCTACTTCCTGAAGACAGTTTTCTTTCCTTCCTGGCTCCGCTCTTTGTTTATACCCACACTGGGGATGACAAATGGATTTATTCTCTTGCGCCAACCCAAAGGGTTGGCCATCGGTGCCTCAGACACTTAAACCAGTTTTAGGTGGTGCTGAGGCGCAGTGGGGAGATGTGCTGTGATTGGTTGGTGATGCCTGCTGGGGCAGGTTAGTGATGCCCTTGGGGGCGGTGGGGCTCTGGGAGGCAGTCCCCCCTCGATGGAGGGACAGGAGAGGGCCCGCTGAGTGATCCAAAAGCGGTGTTTTCAGGGTTTGTTTCATATGAGCAGGTACCCTCAGATAGACCCCTTTCTGGGTGCAGAAAGTGTGTGCGTCTTGCTCAGGCATATTTAGCTACTAAGCAGGAGGTAGGGAGGAAGGCCTGGACCTGAGCCCAGGGCGCTGACTCCAGAACCCTGGTTTCTTTTGTATTGGGCTGCTGTCTTGCGGTTCCTCCCTGTACCCACTGCCTCCACTTTCTTTTGAAAATGTCCATTGTCAAGTCTGATATTTTCTCCCCACTTTCCCGGGGGTAGAAATGAAGCAGTGCCAGTTGAGAGGGGATAGCTCGTGGCCAGGCCTCTGCGGGGCTCCTGGGAAGCCGCTGCGGGCGGCAGGCTGGGCCAGAAACCGGCAGACTGTCTAGCCATTACCATGACAGTCTCCTGTTCTCCACAAACAGTCGTGCTGAGAGTCCAGAATCGGAGGCAAGATGAAGACTCTGCTGCTCTTGGTGGGGCTGCTGATGACCTGGGAGAATGGGCAGGTGCTGGGCGCGCCGGCCGTCTCACAGAGAGAGCTCCAGGGTGAGTAGACCAGAGGCCTCCCCCCGCTCCCCTGTGCACACTCCTTCCCTAACAGGGCCCCAAGGGTTAAAGGCCACTTTATCCTGTGCATGAAGTCAGGTTTGCTGGGCCCTGCCCCTCTCTGAGCCTCTTCCCCCCCGCCCCCTGCCCCCCGGCCACCTAGCCCAGGCTCTTTGTGGTCAGGTTGGCTTCTAGGCATCTTTAGGTGTATCGCCGGCCTCTTCTGGCTGCTGGGTCTCATTCGCCGGTTCCCTTTCCAGTCTGTACAGCCCGGTACCCACACCTCCTCCATGAAGGTCCACAAAGCCTGGACCATTTGAGTCTTTGGGGAGCTCCCGTTTTTGAGTTTCGTAGCATTTAGTACATGTATCTCCACCTTCCCACCCAGGAACCCACGCTCCGTATTCTCTGCTCGTAGGGAAGGAGAATTATGGTTTAAAGGGAAGCTGTCATCCTTCAGAGCCCAGCTGGTGGTCCCCTCTTCTCCTAAAACCCGTCCTCCCTCCAGCCCACTCTCATCCTCCTAGCCGAGCGGCCCTCTGGGTAGTAGTTACAAACCCCAGTCTTGAGATCAGACCCGGGTATGAGTCTGGCCCTGCCGCTCCCCTGCTGTGTCAGCCTGGGCAGGTATTGTGACCTCACTGTGCAGTGCGGACGATGAGAGGGCCGGGGGTTAAAGGACACGCACATGAGGTGTCTGGCTCAGCCCTTGCCCTGGGGCTGGTGCTTCGGTGACATCGTCTCCGTGCATTTGTCACATGGTGTTATGTCTTGGTCACAGTCTCCGTGAGGAGCAGTGCTATTAGTTCATCTTTGGGTCTCCATCACTATGAATTGGAGAAAAGAAGTTCAGATGTTTGGTGAAACTGAATTCCAGAAAGACTTATATCCAAGAGAACAACATTTCCCATTTCGATGTGTGAGCGCTTACTCTTCCAGGATTTCTTTTTTCCCTCGGAAATTTTCTTCTGCGGCTGGGCAGGCTCGGCGTGCAGCCCGAAGGGAGTTCGTGCCTCTGTCCCTCCTCTGGGGTGTGCCTGCCCCAAGTATGGGGCGCGGCTCCAGTGTTTTGGACAGGTTCAAGCCTTGGACTGAGGAGAGACACAGTCCTCTCGTTGCCACGTGCAAGTCCCAGCTGGAGGGCAGAGCCTTCCCAGCACAATTAGCCAACAGCTATAGTTGTGAGCTTGAACCTATAGTTCAGCGGTTCTCAACCTGTGAGTCGCGACCCCTTTGGCGGTCGAATGACCCTTTCACAGGGGTCGCCTCAGACCATCCTGTGTATCAGATATTTACATGATGATTCATAACAGGAACAATATTACAGTTATGAAGTAGCAACGAAAATAATTTTATGGTTGGGTCACAACATGAGGAACTGTATTTAAAGGGCCAGAAGGTTGAGAACCACTGCTATAGCCTGACATGTGGCCCCACGTGCCTGTGTGATAGAGTTCAGGTGCATGTAGTTGAGTAGGGTTGAAACCAACGAGAATGTTGTTAACATCTTGATCTCGCCCCTCCTCTGCCTCGTGGCATCTGCTATCAAATAAAGACACGGCTTGTGGGTGCAGGCGCTGTCTCCTCATCAGGGAGCAGCGTCCCACCGAGACCCAGCTTCCATTCTCTTGTCTGTTTTTTCTAAGCCTTTCACCCCTCCCACCCCCCCAGTCAGGGTCACTGAACCAGGCTGAGCTGGCATGGCACATCAGGCGCCCTGGGGCTGAGTGTGCCATGGCCGTGCTGGCTCCCCACACCCGAGGGTTTGTGTTTGTGAACAGTTGGTGCCCTGGATTCCAGGACTCTGGGTCCACAGGGAGCCCTGTGATGGGAACCTGAGTCAGGGAAAGCTGGGGCCCCAAGGCTGCCTGCCAGGGGGTTCCTGCCGGGAAGCCCCTGCACCCACTGCCTTTCTGACCATTCCAGCTGGTCCAGGCTCATATCCCCCAGTGCCGTCTCTTCCTCTGGCCTCATTCTACTTCCCTGCCCTTCTCTTGCAGAAATGTCCACCGAGGGGAGTAAGTACGTTAATAAGGAAATTAAAAATGCCTTCAAGGAGGTGAAACACATCAAGTCTCTAATAGACCACACCAACGATGAGCGCAAGTCACTGCTCATCAGCTTGGAAGAAGCCAAGAAGAAGAAAGAGGTAAGGAAGAGCCCGGCGCCCGTGGCCCCGCTTTGACGCCCCCTGCTGGAAGGGGGCAGGGAGGGGTCCTGGCTTCTCCTGGGTGTCCTGTTGGGTTGCCATGTTGGCCCTCTGTCTTTCCAGGGCTGTGTCACCTGACACTGGGACCGTGGTTAAGAAATAGGGAGGGTTTATTTGCTTTTGAAAGCCTCAAAGGGTGAGATCTTGGATCTGCTTTTGTTACCAGCCTGGCTCAGGGCCTGATACCCAGATTCACTTCAATAGATTTTTCCAAACCCTGACTATGGGCACGCTCTGAGGTAGGCTTTGGATATGGTCTGTCATGGGGTAGGAGGGAGAAGGCGCCCTACTTTCAGAAAGCGTATCTAGTAGGGGCGATACCTTGGGATTAAGGCAGGCACACTGTTGCCTCAATGTCTTTCTAGAGTTCTGAACTGCTTCATAAAAGAAACAGCTAAGTCCAATAGTGAACTTAGTAGCTCTAGGCTGCGCTTAATGAGTCAACAGAACTAAAACGCTATAATTCAATGAACAATTTATTTTAAAAAATCAAGAGTCTTCTTAAGGGTACCCTAAAAATCTACTCCCATTGCCATCCTACCCCTAATGAAGGAGATGCTAAGATCGGGCCACCTGCCACCTTCATGATCCATAATGCATAGTAAAAGCATTTTAAAGGCTCTGGAAAGTTCTGCAGTAGAGCATCCTATGTAGGAAAAACCAGGGTGGGGGGCAAGAGGAGAGCGGGGGACATCTGTGATAGTGTCAACAATTTTAAAAAAAAGAAGAAAAATCTATGTAACTTCATTCAGCCCAGTGTTTTTCCAATCAAGTTGAACAGGAAGCCCAGTTTTCTTTTTCTTGACAGCTTTTAGCACCATTTCATGGGAGCCACTTACGGAAATGCTGGCCCCGGGTGGAGCTCTCACTTTCTTTGAGATTTTGTGTCCGTCCCCGGCCTCAGTGTTCATCCTCACCATTCTATGAGAGTCCTCACGCCGCTCATGTGGGAGGGGCAAGTCTCCTTCTCAAATTTTTTGGGTTAATGTTGGAGTTTGATATTTGACAATCCAGATTTTATAATAAAGCTCATCAAGTTTGGAAAAAGGATTCCATTTACTTCTTAGTTGAAGACTATGTGAACCGGAAAGGAAGGAGGTGACCAGCAGAGCTGACGCTTTGCGAATGGGCTCAGTGGAAGGCGGCTTTCCCCAGCACAGAGCAGGGAACGCCTCCTGGTCAGACCCTCAGAGCGCCTTCATGCTCTACTTCATTCTTCTTTGAAGAGTAACACACTCATTCATCAAGATTTTAATATAGGAAAGCAGAGGAGGAAAAGATTTTCTGTGATCCTTATACTTACGGACAATTCACTGTTAACATTTGGTCTGTTTCTTACTATTTATTTCCCTCTATGCTTTTTTGACAAATCAGGAATTTTTAACATGAAAAATGCTTACTGTACTACTGCAACTTAACATAAACATCCCTTGGAGTGCTGTACGTATCTACCCTTCGTATGTCCCACAATTCGCTTAACTTGTCCCCTAGTTTTACATCTGAATGAATTCTAGGTTGTTGGTTGTTTTGTTTCTTTGTTTTTTGCCATAAACCCATATGGAAACAAAGATCTTTAGGCATAAGGATTTTTCCTTTATTGCAGGAACTCCTTGGCATAAATTCGTATAAAACTATGGGGTCAGATGACAGGGGCACATTAGAGAGTTTGGGTGATCGTGCTGACTTTGAAAGCTGGCCTATTCCGGTTGCATGCCAGGGGCCATGGTCCCAACAGATTCTAAGATCCAGGGAGCCTCCAGGCGCTTTGGATGATGACCTTTAGACACCAGAAGCTGAGCATAGAAAGCGAAGGATAAGTGAGAGGCAAATCCTGGGGTAGAGACTCTAAGTGTGTGTCAGAGAAGGAGATGACCACACAGGGTCTACTGGCCGGGGAGGACTAAGGAACAGTTGGGTTTTGAAGATGAAAGGATCTTTAAAGCTAGGTGGGCAAGGGAGAGGGAACACGGGAGCCAGAGCTGGGGTGGAAATGAGCACACCGTGTGGCCAGATGTGGGAAGTCGGCCTGGGTGGAGGGCCCAGCATCACTGGGCGTGCTGGGGGAGGGTGCAGCCTGTGAGTTCTGCATGGCTAACCTGGCTTTGTGTCCTGCTGTAGGATGCCCTAACTGATACCAAGGATACTGAAATGAAGCTGAAGGCGTCCCAGGAAGTGTGCAATGATACCATGATGTCCCTCTGGGAGGAGTGTAAGCCCTGTCTGAAGCAGACCTGCATGAAGTTCTACGCGCGCGTCTGCAGGAGCAGCTCAGGGCTGGTTGGCCGCCAGGTGAAATGGGGAAGCGCTGTGGAGTGCAGCCTAGGCTCTGAGTGGGGAATGGGGAGACCCTGGTGAAACGTGCTTCTGTTATTCTACACCCAATTCCAACGTGTGCGAGTTCTCCCACACCAGCTGGGTGTCCTATAATCCAACTCAATTCTGATACTATCTACCTGGAGATAGCCTCAGATTCCATAGGTTAAGGACTCAGTCCCACAAGACTGTCCCACACCCCCTTCAGGTGCTAATCACATGTCCAGGTTGTCACCTGTGCTTCTGACTGTTGCGCTATAGATTGGAGGTTTCAACAACCCCCTCCTTAATTGATTTGCTAGAGTGGCTCATGGAACTCAGAGAAACATTTTACTTCTTAGATTCCAGGTTTATTATAAAAGGAACAGCCAAAATGGGAGAGATGCATAGGGCAGGGGAAAGGGGCAGGTAGCTCCCGCGCTCTCTCCAGGTGCACCACTCGCTCCACATCTCTGTGTGTTCAACAACCCCACACACTCTGGGAACTTGTCCTTTGGGGTTTTCATGGAGGCTTCATTAACATCAGCAACATTGGCCATTGGAGATTGATTCACCCTCCAGCTCCTCTCCCCTCCCCAGAAATCAGAGTGTGGGACTGAAAGTTTCAAGCTTCTAATCAAGGTTCTCTTCCCCAGCTTTCATCCTTATGAGTTTTTTTCTAAAAGTCACCTCATTAAAATCATAAAAGATACCTTTATTGTTCTCATCATAGGAAATTCAAAGGGTTTTAGGAGCTCTTTGTTAGACAGGGTCAAAAACCAAATAAATATTTTTCTTATAATTAAAATGCCACAGCTTCATTTCACAGATGCAATTGAGTAGTTCTGGCTGCATTTGCACCCAGAGTGCCATTATCAATTGGTAAAGTCTGCGATAAGTGCAGGAATACAGTCACGAAAAGCACCCGTGCCAGGTATTTGCCACCTCTTAGAAGACTCTTATCTAGCAGTTATTAGCTGGATTACATAAATCACGTCATAGTATGGCACAGCCCTGTGTCCACTTAGATGGAAGGAATTAAGGATTTTTAGTACATTAATGTGGATTCCATCCTTCCCTGTGAGCCTCGTTAATCGGGACTCAAATTTTGCTACTCACTGAAGACATACCAATTGGTCTTTGGCTGAGCAGGGGTGGGGATCATTAGCGGCCAAAGAAAACCACAGATAGTCTCAAGTGATGAGCCTTGTGACTCTGGAGCAGCAGTTCTCAACCTGTGGGTCGCAACCCTCGGAAAACACACATCGCATATCAGATATTTAAATTACAACTAGAGGCCCGGTGCACAAAAATTTGTGCACTCGGGGGGGGGGGGCAGCTCAGCCTGGCCTGCGCCCATTCCCAGTCCAGGACTCTTTGGGGGAGGTCCACCTGTCGACTTAGGCCCCCTCCCCAGAGGGGCAGGCAAAAAAAAATACACCCACATACAAGTACCCGGCGTATTAAAGGGTCACGGTATTAGGAAGGTTGAGAACCACTGCTCTAGAGCCTCACGGGTCTTCCTAAACTCTGTTGGGATGGGTAGGCTGGAAGGGCACTGGCCTGACAGTTCAGAAACCAGGGAGACAGTCTCAGGGGGGCCTTCAGTCACATGCTGTGTGACTCCGTGGAGACCAAAGCGCAGTGAGGAGGAGCGGGACCTGACCCGTCTCAACAAGAGGGAGGTGCAGGAGGTTGGGACCCTCGTGAGCTTCTCCTCACTGTTCCGCATTCTGCCTGCCGCAGCTGGAGGAGTTCCTGAACCAGAGCTCTCCCTTCTACTTCTGGATGAATGGTGACCGCATCGACTCCCTGCTGGAGAATGACCGGCAGCAGGCCCACGTACTGGACACCATGGAGGACAGATTCGAAAAGATGTCCAGTATTATGGATGAACTTTTCCACAGCAGTTTCTTCAACCGGGAATCCCTGGATCCCTACCCCTTTTCACCCTTCGGCTCATCCCCAAGGAGGCCTCTCTTCTTCAATCCCAAGACCCGCTTTGCCCGAAACTTAATGTCTTTCCCCATGTTTGGAATCCCAAACTTCCAGGACATGTTCCGACCCTTCTTTGACATGATACACCAGGCTCAGCAGACCATGGATAGCCAACTCCAGGAACCTCTCTTCGAGTTTCCAATGATAGAATTCCCGGAAGGTTAGAAAGATGTCTCCTTCCCCCTAAGAAGGGATGGGAACAGCAACTTGTTGAAAAACCCATTAGATGCTAAGAACTTGGTATGCGTCGTCTTGATCCCCTCCAGCAACCCTGTAAAGGTGGTATTAACCCCATTTAAGGAGGAGAAAACAGCGACAAAGAGATGGAGGGTTGTATCCAAAGTTTTGCAGCTGGTAAAATGGGACCTGGTCAGATCTAGCTCTGCAGGACTTGGAGTTTACCATGCCCCTTCCAGCAACTGTTGGATATCGGATTGACTCCTGCCTCTAGAGAACCAGACCCCTTTCTCTTGGGAACCCAGGTGGTTGTCTGTGGATGCCATGTATATATTGGCGACAAATTATTTAGTCTTAAGAAAGCTGTTCATGGCTATAACCTTAGGGTCTGGTAGAGAATGGGCACATAATTAATATTTTTTGAATGAAGTCTGATATGGACATGAAAAGCCCATACTTTCAGAAATGACTTCCTTCATTGAACCAATAGATATTGGTTGGCCTACACCAGTGGTCGGCAAACTCATTAGTCAACAGAGCCAAATATCAACAGTACAATGATTGAAATTTCTTTAGAGAGCCAAATTTTTAAAACTTAAAATATATAGGTAGGTACATTGTTATTAACTTAATTAGGGTACTCCTAAGGTTTAGGAAGAGCCACACTCAAGGGGCCAAAGAGCCGCAGTTTGCCGACCACAGGCCTACACCATCTCCTAAAGGCTATAGTTTGACTGGCACCAAGTTTGGCTTCAAATGATGTGGAAATAGAAGAGGGTGTTGAATCGAACCAGCATCTACTGCGTATCCATAATGGGGGGAGTTCTGTGTTATAAGGAGTCTGAAAGGAGGATCCCATTCTGGCCTTCAAGGGGCTTGCTGACTCGCTAGGGGGAGAGAAATGAGTCACTTAAACGCAGAGCAAGATGGGTTATGATGCCAAAGAGAAGTACAAATAGGGGAGTATTGAGACAAGAGAGGGCTCATCGGGGGAGATGGTGGCGGGGGGCTGGGGAGGGGGAGCGGCATACCTAGCTGGGGAAACCCTGGGAACTACCTCCTTGTCCTTCTGCAGGGATCCCTGATCAGAGGCCTGTATCTGCAGGCCAACTCCAACCTGCTCTGCCTGCAGAACCAGCTCAAAGGGCCAAGCAGTAGTGTCGAAGGGGTCAGGGACATGGGGGTGGCCCATCACTGTATTGCCCTGTATGGTCCTTCAGCATGACTCCCCCTTCCCCTGTGTGTCTCCAGAAAACAACGATAACCGCACCATATGCAAGGAGATACGTCACAACTCTACGGGGTGCCTGAAGATGAAGGACCAGTGTGCCAAGTGCCAGGAGATCTTGTCAGTGGGTAAGTCTGGGAGCCTTGCACCTGGTACCTCAGTGGGGCTGCCTTTATTGGTCAGATGATGGGAGTTCGAGTTTCAGCTCTGCTGCTTTCTGGCTGTGGCACCAGGGGAGGTTGTTTGCCTTCTTCCGCCTGGGCCCCTATCTGTAGACAAGGGTTAGGATGCAGAGTTGCCCCTGAAACCGGGAATTGGATAATATACTATTATATAAAGTGCCCACCAAGTCATCCAGCACATGGCCAACAGGAGGTCATGGGAGGGGCTGTTATGCTTTTTTGAAAAGCCATCATCTTTGATTTCCCCATCATTCTTTTCCCAAGGGCCAAGCATAGTAGACATCCTCGTTTTCTCCTGCAGACGGTGACATTTTAAATAGTATGTTTTCGGTTTAGCAAACACCTACCATGTGCCAGGTACTGTTCTACACACTTTGCAAACAGTTACTAATTTCCTCAAAATGACCCTGAGTTGGGTATAATGAATGTCCCTATCTTACAGAGGTAGAAACTCGATCAAAGAAAGGTTAAGTAAAATTACAGGACATCCATGTGGGGGACCTTAGTGTTTGGATGTGCTCTTAACCAGCACTTTGGGGTCTGTCTTCAGCACCCCTGGGCCAATGATAGCGGTCCCTTAGCCACCCGTGGGTCAGTGATGGTGGTCCCATTGCCTCTGGTGGGTTGATCTCCGAGGCAAAGGAAATCGTTCCCTTGGCTTTATCAGATCTGGACAGTGGCTAGTTTCTTCCTGCTTTGAGATAACAGCTCTAAAAGCATCTAGAAACTTTTTGGCCCGCAATAGTGTGTGCTCAGCAAGAGTTAATGGTTTCCCTTGTAAATAAAGGATCAACGTGGTGGCCTTGCTCTTATTTAATATGTGTGTGTTCGCCAGGGCAGGCCTTCAGAGTCTGGTTAAATATTCTAGCCCCATTCCTGTCATTTTAGAAGCCACTGCAGAAATAAATACCAGTGTCATAGGAAACTGATGGATGAATACCCAATGTTTCTTGGCCTATTCCCACACAATATCATCGTTAGAATAGCATAAATGACATGGCACCTCGCCACCAGAAAGTTAGTCATGTTAAGGCCAGAAGAAAAGACACACAGCTGCCTAGGCTCAGGTTGGCACCCCTGGCACTGACCTGCATGGTCACTGATCACAGCTTACCTACACAGCCACCGTCTTTTCTACACTGAGGGACACTGATGGCCTCTTATTTAAGGTTCTTGCAAATATCTAAGCAGGCATTGCCCAGGAACTCCAGACTGGGATTTCTCAGCTTCTTCAATGTTGACATTTTAGTCCAGATCATTCTTTGTCGCTGGGGGCTGTCTTGTGCCCTGTAGGAGGTTAGCAGCATCCCTGGCCTCTAACCACTAGATGCCAGTAGCTACCCCACTCCTGTCAGTCCCCACCCTCTCTAGACTGAGTCTCTGTTCTCAATGACTTTTCTGGTCTTTAAATTATTTCCTGGTAAAAGAGTTAAGGTTATTTATTATCTGTCTTTTCCAACCTGGCTTCTTGTTAGTAATTCTGTTTCTTGCCCCCCCCCCAACATTTATTTGATTATAATACCAATGATTACATTCAATACAATCATTTGATGAAAAGGATTACATATAATCATTTAATAGAAATGATCACCATTCTTTAGTGTGAAAAGATCTCCTTTCCCCTGACTCATTTGCGTTTGATGTGCTCCCCTTGGAATATTTTTTTAAAATGTAGGGAGAGAAATAAAAGAGTAGTTTTTAGAGATAGCGGGGAGTTGCCAACTCTTATCCATCTGGCACCCTGCAGTGGCCGCTCACTGAGGCACCAAAAAGAATGAATTCTATCTTCTCTGCTCCACTGGTGAACTTGGTGACCAGCCACCTGGGTGGGTGGGAAGCCAGGACCCCAGCCACCAGCTGCTCTTCTGCTAAATGAAGTCTCGGGGCAGAATTTCCAACTCTGCAGCTATGGCCAAAAGACAAGCTTGGAGAATTTTCCAGACCACAGACTCCGAATAGGAGGAACCTAAGATTAGGAGTTAAAGCCCCGGGTTCAATTCTGGTCCCACAGATTGTTTATTCTGTAACTTCAGGCAAGTGTGGGTCTCCATTTCATTTTTGGTAAAAAAATATTCATTATTGGTGGCTCTTAGAATACACCCGATTGTTACAGATAACGGACATCCAAGGCACTTATGTGGTATCTGGTACGTGGTGGGTGCCACACAAACGGTAGCTCCATGTGACACCCCCCGCTCCCCCATCTCCGGAAATGACTCATGGGGGGACGGGGACAGCAGAGTGGCCCTAGGTCTGAGCGCCTGGAGCACTGAGGTCCAGGCTTTGCCGAGTGTGGTCAGCTGCGCTCGCCCCCAGCCTCCAGCGATGTCACTAAGCACACTGTGTGGTCCAACTGACGGTTTTCCAGGATGAGGCTCTCTCAATGAAGGAAGCCACCTGCTGGGCTATGTTCTGGGGTGACCTCTTTATGTTGTCACGGGCTGATGACAGATGGTTTGGGGACCGGCAACCGGCTCTGCTTTAGGTCCTGGCTTCATGAACTGATTTCCATCCCATTTTTTTTTTCTTTTTTCTTCCCTGTTTGACTTTCCCTTCACGTGGCGGCCTGTCGTGTTTTCCGTCCCGTCTCGGGGCAGACTGCTCGGGCAGCAACCCCGCGCAGACCCTGCTGCGCGAGGAGCTGAACAGCTCCCTGGAGCTGGCGGAGACGTTGGCCAGGCAGTACGACGAGCTGCTGCGGTCCTACCAGCAGAAGATGCTCAACACCTCCGCTCTGCTCAGGCAGCTCAACGAGCAGTTCAGCTGGGTGTCCCAGCTGGCCAACCTCACCCAGCGGGAGGACCGCTACTCCCTCCACGTCACCACGGTGAGTCTCCCCGGCAGCCGGGCCCCCAGGTGCGGCCCGGAGAGGAGGACGTGGCCCTCCCTGGGGGCGAAACGGGAGGAAGGCTTACGCTTTCCATTGTTGGTCCTGTGGCCGGAAACATACGACCTTTATGTGCATCATTGTCTGGGAGCCTCATCGCCCAGGGGTGCAATGTCATGACCCCGTTTTATGGATGAGGAGAGTGAGAGGCTCAAGAGCTTGGTCAAGGCCAGATGACTGACAGGTGCCTCACCTGGGTGACAGAGCCTGTCTGTTTGGCTGGGACCCTGTGCTCTTTCCATGAAGCCGCCCCTCCTGCTGTGTGGGCTGGGCGCTCGTGAACTGGGGCAGCCTCCTGTGTCCATGATGAAAAGCTCCCCTCCAGCACTGGGAACCTTTCTATTTTCTTTTTTTAAAATATATTTTTACTGATTTCAGAGAGGAAGGGAGGAGAGCAAGAGAGAGAAACATCAATGATGAGAATCATTGATCAGCTCCCTCCTGCACACCCGCACTGATCGAGCCCACAACCCGGGCATGTGCCCTTGACCGGAATCAAACCCGGGACCCTTCAGTCTGCAGGCCGACGCTCTATCCACTGAGCCAAACCAGCCAGGGCTCTAGTTTCTTTCCCTGATTCCTTTTCTACCTCAGCCAGGCCAGTGGCTGCCCAAAGGAAACACGGTGGCTTGGAAATCATCTTCCACTCGTGGGGCTCCCCCAGGCTGGTCCTTTGCGGTGCCATTTACACCTGCCAAGTGCCTCTGAACAGGGCATTGCTTTCCAGTGAGGTGTACGCGTGTCCAGATTTAGGCCTGACTTTGGTTGCGAAACGGGTGGAGTTTGGCGGCTGTCTCAGCCCTTCTCCCACCCTCCCTCTGCCCAGGTGGCTTCCCGCGGTTCGGACTCCAGCGTTCCCTCCGGTTTCACGAAGGTGGTTCTGACGCTCTTTGACTCTGACCCCATCACCGTGACGGTCCCAGAAGAAGTCTCCATGCACAATCCTAAGTTTATGGAGACTGTGGCTGAGAAAGCTCTGCAGGAATACCGCCAGAGTACCCGGTGAGTGTGCAGGTCTCAGCTACGGTCCTTCCGGGCCCCCCAGGTCCCTGGGAGCCAAAAAAGGCCGGGTACCCAGTCTGGGAACGACGGCCAGGGTCCCGACAGGAGGCCAGGAAACCATCGAGACCCCTAGTTTTCCTTCGGAGGGTGCTCTTTCTTGTTTGGTAAGAATTTGAGTGTTGGTGAATACAGAGCCCTCACTTTCTCCCCTGCCTCCATTTTTTTTTTTTTTTCAGGGAGAAATGAAATGTGAAGGTTGCTTTTCCAGGTATGGGGGTGTCTGAATCCTGTTGCCCCTGAGAGAACTCCCAGGCCCCCAGAGGAGAACTCTGCATGTCACCAAGTGACCAGACCCCAGCCTTGGGCCCTCCTGACCCCGCCCAGCCTCTCCTCCCTCCGGACCCCGCACTCTAATGCCTGCTGATGGGGGAGGGACTTCCCTGCATGCCACTAACTCAATAAAGCTGCCTGTATGCTCTGGAGTGTCCTCTTCTTTTGCTGTTTTTTTTTCTACCCTCCCACACACCTTCATTTTGTTATAGAAAATAAAGAGGAAGAAGTAGAAGAGAAAAATCAGTGGCTAAAATAGTATGGGGGTATCGTAGAGCTGAGAATAAAAGGAGTGTGATGATGAAGTTGACCCAATGGAAGGATTCATCTCTCTCTCTCTCTCTCTCTCTTTCTATATCTATCTATCTATCTATCTATATATATATATATAGAGAGAGAGAGATACATATATATATATTCTCCAATAAAACAATAATATGCAAATTAACCATCACTCCACTACTCTGTCACAAAGATGGTGGCAGCCACAGAGCTGGAGCGAGCAGGAGGCTTGGGTTGCCCCAGGCGATGGAGGAAGCCAAGCCTCCCACCTGCCCTGGCCAGCACTGGGCTCCGCTCAAGGCTACAAAGTTTCAATCATAGAAGATAAATAAATCCCAGAAAAGAAAAGAAAAAAAAGTCTGGGAGCTTGGGTCGCCAGGGGGTGTGGCCAGCCTGAAAACGGCCCTCAGCACCTCACCCAGGCTGGTCACACCCCCATGGGGTGAGGATACCCACTGGGG